CCTTTCTGTTGCCATCCCTCTTAAGCAGAAAGTTCAGTATTTTACACTCTTTGACAGTAACAAATCCATCCCAGTTACCAAGGACATCTCTCAACACCAACAGAAAATGTGTAACTACCGTTTCTAGTGCGTGTATTAGTTTAAGCTCTCCCCCGAGACCTTAGGAAGAAATGGGACTCCCGGTGCACCATGCACGCTGCAGAAACCTCCACGTGCACCTTCTCGTCTACTCCTCACCCCGGGTCAGGCACGAGGGACCCCCGGCTTACAGAGGAGACCCTGGGAAGGCTACTGACAGCACAGCTGGGCTCGGTGCAGGTCCTGTTGCCAGCAGAGCACGTGAGCTCTGTGGCCAGGCCAAGTCTGCCTCAAGTCCTTTGGAGAGAGTGGGTATATTGAAATCAAATGAATTCTTTAAAAGAGACGGATGACCTAACAGTGCATAATAATGTAGATTCCCCAAATTCGTTCAATTAGCACTCGGCGCCACGTAACTGAGGTCTGACTGTGTGCCCGGCCCCGTACCAAGCATTTCATATACACCAACTCTGTCTGATTCCACTCGTGCAACATTTCCTGAGCGCCTACTGCGTCCCTGTCCTCAGGGCGCTCACCTCCGAAGACGGCAGGCAGAGAATCACGAGGGACGGCAGGAGCGGCCGTGAGGACAGTGCGGGGTGGGCTGAGCCGGCGTTTCAGTCGTGGGATGGGAGAGAAGGAAAGCTGACACAACTCTGAGTATCTCAGGGGAAAGTTAAGGTGAGCTCTCTCACATCTTATTACAAAACAAACTCCAAATGGATACAAATTGTAATAGCTAACACTTCTAAGTGAAACAAAGACATCCAAAGAAATACTTCAAAATTTAATAACGTATCATTTGGGAGTCAGAATGCTTTCTTTCTTGGAGCCAAAATGCAGGGCTCACAAAGATGAGTCTGACTACATAAGACTTTTAGAGCTTCTCTGATTGCCCAACAAATTCAGAAAATTTTGTGACAATAAATTCACAAACCTGAAAATGTAAACCTGGATATACAGAGTTTATATAAATTACTAAGGATTTGGGACGCCTGGGGGGCTCAGTCGGTTAAGCGACTGCCTTCGGCTCAGGTCGTGATCCTGGAGTCCCGGGATCGAGTCCCGCATCGGGCTCCCTGCTCGGCGGGGAGTCTGCTTCTCCCTCTGACCCTCCCCCCTCTCATGTGCGCTCTCTCTCTCATTCTCTCTCTTTCAAATAAATAAATAAAATTAAAAATATATATATCCACAGTGATTATTCCCAACTGCTCACATTCCAACTGATCTTCCTACTCTTCTTGATACCTCTATTTGTTTGAGTGGGCACATTATATTTATTATTAGAAAAATAATAATAAAGCTACCTTTTAAAAACTGACAAAAGCAACTACGAACAAATTCTGGGAGGAGGATAAATGGGTGTTTACTATTCTGTTTTTCTCTGTTCGATATTTTCCAAAGTTAAATAAAAACTAAGAGGTAAACATAGTACCTCACTAACAGACATCCAGAGAGATTTAAAACCTTGCCCAATTCAAGATTTGAGGCGGGTCTGTTATGATTCCCATGTATATTCGAAGCCCCAGGGACGCAAACACGTGGAGAGGCTGGCGCCCGGCTTGGCAGAGACGCTCCATCATCGGTAAGATGGGCGGCCACGTGCCACGTGCCACCTGCCAGTGCCACCAAGTGCAGCATCTGACCCCGGCCCCACGCTGCAGCCACGAGGCCCTGTCCCAGGGAACCCCTTGGTGCCTGCCAGTCCCTGGGACTTGCCCAAGGGCACCCCACAGGGCAGGATATAAACCCACACATCTTTGCCCCAAAACTCCTCATGCTCTTCTTCCTGACCGCAAGCCAGCATGTTACTTCAAGTACAAGATTAAAGCCATGATTTGGATTTTCTATCCCAGATAAAGGGAACCCATACTGAAAGTGCATAAAAGAAAAAAAACTCAGAAGACCTATTTCCACTCATTTATAAATGTGCCCCACGGCCCTACCTCAGCAGGAACCCCACCACTTTGCACAGCTGTCTGACTCGGGATGGGGGGATCCCCTGTCTCCCTCCCTTCACTTACATGGTTCAGTTTCTGAGGCGGCCAGAAACCACCTCATTTACCTACACCCTTTCCAGCACGCACACGCCAAGGGTCTCGATGCCGAGCGCACACTGCCATTCCCCACGAGGCTGCACCATTAGTCCTGGAGAGTGGCATTGGTACTCGGGCAGGGTGGGGCCGGCCCAAGCAGCCTCCCAATCCAGCTAGAGCCTTGGCCACCGAATGCAGGTAGCCACCAGCGTTTTATTTATTATTATTTTTTTTAATGGAAAAGAAAACGAACACAGAGAGCACGAGTCGCCTCAGGGCAAGCACCTTCCGTGAACGTGCAGAGGTACCACAGCTTCCCCCCCGCTCTCCTGGCAAGCAAGGCGCGGCCACCGAGCGGCTTCTGGGGCCAGGGCTCCTCTTTCCAGGGGGGCTCACTCCTGACTTCAAGCCTTAACGTGGGTAATGGCCTCACAGTAAGCATCCGGGTATCTCTAGCGAACGCAAATCCACCGAAACCAGATCCATCAGTATTAGCTCGTGAGGCCCGGTGAATTTTAAGAGAGAGAATAGGAATCAGGAAGAAGAAAACGATAGCAAAAATGAAAAACCACAACTTCAGTCCTGTCCCACGGGGCTCCTGAGTGAAGTCTTAATTTTTTGCCAGTCTTGAAAAGAATAAACATCTATTTTTACCAGCAAGGCATCTCCCCATCATCTGCTAACACACAACCGTGTCATCCGCCCGCCTGCGGAACTGACAGGTGACAATGGGTGCCCAGGCTGCAGGGCACCTGTCCACCATCAAGTGAGTAATTCTATGTGGTCCAACACAGAAGGAAAAGGAGGAGGAGGAATGAGACCAGACAGCACGAAGGGCTGAGGGCCCCACAAAGCAGCTCAGCCGCTCAATAAGGCAACACGGGCGGGAAAGGGACGTACACAAGAGTTCCCACAGCCTTATGGAGGACAAAGTCAGGGGCTTCGTCAGACATATTGAAGCCATCACACCCAGAAGAAGTATCTTAGACCAAGGCAGCAGGACCCAGCAGGATCCGCCGGTTTAGGGTCAGCGACCTGAGGTATGACATCACAAAGCAGCTCCTTCTGACCCACTACCAAACCTAGAAGACCAAACCCGGCTTAAATCCTGACCTGCCGTGATGTTACATTTCTTCCTGTTTAGCCCAATCACTTCCACAGAACCTTATCCAGGACAATCCCCTGCCCTTCCCCATTCCCTGCCAGGCCTGACGGCTGCCCAGGACAACACCTCCATCCCCCCATTCAAATGAGCCCGCCAGGTGGCAGGACCCCCAGCGACTCTGGGCTCTCTGTGCACGGGTCACCCTGCACGCTGCAGCAAGCCCCCAACTCAGCTTCCACCTGCCCTCTCCCTCCCCAACCCGCCCTGCTCCTCTCCATGACCTGCCCCTCCCTTCCTCCCCTAAAAACCAGAGCTACCGCTGACGTCATCTCTCCTGGAAACCCCGCGGGGCCCAGAGCCAACTGGAGTGCCTGCCACCTCTGGCGGGACAATCCTTCCGATGTGGCGGTTCACAAGACCCACCTCACTGGCTACTTCTCTGGTTCTACGTTCTTGTTCAGTCTGTTCAACCACAGCAACATGATAATAACACACCACGTTCTCCAACTCACCCCCTCCTCTGTGACGCCTTATCACACATGTAGCTACCGACGCCAGCTCGACCTTGGATTTCAGATGTTTGTGGCCGAGCTGCAGGTCTTCCCACAGACCCCGAGGCTGAGCTGTGGTGCCCACCCTGTGAAGCTGTGTGGCCAGCTGGGGGCTGCGCCTCTGCCATGAGAACCCGTGGTGAGGGGGCCCCTCATTCACGGGGATGTGCATTCACACCACCTGTAAGGTACGGGCAGCCCTCTAGCTGAGAGCATTCCCACAGACCTGACAGTGGCCCAGCCAAACGTTCCTTACACTGTCTGAAAATCAAGACCCTCTCATGGTTTAGACAACGAGAGAAAACCCAGCAGACAAACCTGGCAACTTCAAGGGACTTCTTGGACCTAATAAAGGTTATCCAATAAAAACTTCCTGAAAACAGCACTCCCACTAAAGCAGTATTAGATGGATTTCTTTTGAGGTCAGAACCAAACAGTGAGGCTTGAAATCACCACTTCAACAGACGTTAGCAAGTGCAGTAACAAAAGAAACAACATGCCGTGAAACAAGACCGCGAAACTGCCACAGGTAGATGACACGATCTCCTGTATAAAATTAAGATAAAATTCACAGACAACGGTTAGAACTAAAAAGAATTCAACAAGCTTGCTAAAAACAAGACTCTAAAAATCCATTGCATTCCTACACCTGAACAACTACTAATTAGGAAAATTACTTTTACAAAGATGCCATTTACAAACAACAAAAACCACAGGTACAAAGGAGGGACAAGGATTGAATGTGCTTGAAAGAGATCTCAATTAATTAGTCTTGTGCTCAGTGATCGCCTTTGCCATCTGGCCTCGTGGTAATGTATGTTCTCTGTTCAGACCCCTGCTGCACATGATAAGTCAGCATCACAGGGGGCTTAAAGATCCAAGAAATGTTCACTTGTTCGTAGAAAAAGGAAGTCGGAGGGACGCCTGGTGGCTGTCAGTTAAGCGTCCAGCTCTTGATTTGGGCTCAGGTCATGGTCTCGGGGTTGCGAGACTGAGCCCTCCATTGGGCTCTGCACTGGGGTGGAGCCTGCTTGAGATTCTCTCTCTCTCTCTCTCTCAAAAAAAAAAAAAAAAAAGGAAGCCAGATTCTGGGTGGTTACTTCCTACCAGAATTGAGAAGGTGCGATGTTTAACTCTATTAGTGATATTGCTGAATTAGATAAGATACTCCCCAGCAACGCCTCCCAATTATTATAATCTAAGTGCCAGGTGTCCCAAATGGCCCCTCACCTTTTCTGTAATGTTGGCAACACATCGGGCAAGGCAGGGATTTTCACCAATTTGCAGAAGAGACACAGATGGACACAGGTGAAGTGACTCGCCTGAGGTCACGCAGATCCATGGTGGCAGGGCTAGGACCTGGACTCAGACACCTCTGATTCCAAAGTCTGGACTCTTCTGGGAGCCACAAGGCCTCCTCTGGCCACCTGGCTGGGTCAGGATGGACTGGAAGGGTAAGGAGCTCGTAGCTGCCATGGGATGGCAGAGGGCTGAAAGCACTCACACAGATTCAGGCTTTCCTGTGCACTGTCAGTCAAGAACAGCAGGCATCTGACGTCTATCCTGAGCCGCCCAGCCAGGTATGAGGCTCTGCCTTGGAACGTGATATAGGATCTAACTGAGTGTTTTGAAAGGACACTACAGCAGCAGTTTTAAAGCAGCCCAAACCCTTTGCCATTGAGAGCTGGGGTCCACGTCCCCTCCCCTTGAGTCTGGGCAGGGTAGAAGTGGAAACGATGGGGATCTGGGAGGCTGGGTCAGAAGAGGCCACGCAGCTTCCTCCCGCTCCCTGGGAACGTCTGTGTTCCAGATACTTCCTCCTGATACGCTTCCTTGAAGAATTCAGCCCAAGCCACACAGAGAGGCTGCACAGACACTCTGGCCAACAGTCCCCACTGAAACCAGCCTTGGCGTCAACCCAGCCCGGGTGTCAGACGTGTGGGTGGAGAGGTCTCCAGATGGTCCCAGGTCTGAGCCACCCCCTCCCTCCTTCCTGGCTGAGGCATGCTGGAGCAGAGAAGCAGCGTCTCCCGTCTGTGTCCGGCCCACGTCTCTGACCCACAGAGTCCGTGAGCAAAACAGCTGCTGATTCAGGCCGCTCGGTCTGGACGGCTTTTCCCACGGCAACAGGTAACGGAAGCAAACACCCGAGTTTCTGTGGCGCCCATCAACTAGATCTTCCTGGCCGAAGTGCTGCTCCCTGCCAGGGCCCCCCATTCAGTACAGTTTAGATGTCCAACTGCCACTCAGTCCTGGGACAACAAAGAAGGCCATACGAGCACATCTTAAATACCCATGCTGTCGAGGAAGGAGACCTCTGCCAATCACGTCCTCACCCGAGGAAATGGGGGACACTACCAACAGGCCTGGAAAAGCTGGGTCTCGGGCTGCCAACAGCACGCAGCCCAACACAGGGAAGGGACATCCTGCTGCAAAGCGCCTGGAAGAATCGGGCTTTTGGATGCGCTGCAGGGCTCACAGGGACACCTCTACGGGCAGAAAGAAAAAACGAGAAGCTGGTCAGCTGAGCACAGGCGGGCTCCCCAGGGATCCAGGGTTGATACAATGCTGGTCTGAACCTGGGCCCCACCTGTGACACCAACACCGTGCTGCTGATTGGCCCCACGCTTCCGTAGAGACCTCCAGCCTCCCGTGACCCCACCAGCAGCCTGTCCGATCCAGGCCAAACATCCGGCACCTCCTTCCCGCACCCTCCCCTCAGCTTCGGACTCACGGACGGCTTCACAGAGGGCATCACAGCCCCCAAAAGAGCCGCCCCCCCCAGACCCCCACCTCCGTGAGCCTCTGTCGTCGGGAAGAACTATGGTGTCCTCGCCGGGCCCAGCCCCCCACCTGCAGATCGGTGCCTGAAGTCAGGGACACGGCTCCAGCAATCCCTCCTTCTCTGTCATAAACCTTCCCTCTCAAGAGGGCTATTCCCAACAGGAGCCCAACACGCTGCACTTACTTCCATTTTAAACAAAATGAGACAAAGACCGAGAAAAGATTGTTCTAAGGCATAAGAAAGAAAAACACAGATCCGCTATAAAGCAACTCTGATTAGACAGAAGCTGACTTCAAAACTGCCCCCAAACCCCAAATATTGCCGAAGTGTGAAAAGAAAGTAACTCTCAACCTGGGAGTGTCTTCTTGGAGAAACTCTACAGAACGAGCACAAAGATGTTCACAGGTAAAAAGTGAACCCCAAGAGACTCCAGGAGCGAAACAATCTTTGGCTCCCACTCTCCCCCAACCATCAATCCACTGGTTGTGTTCAGTCGCTTCCTAGTTCTTCCGCAGCTCTTCAGGCGGACCGGTGTCCCCCCCACACAGACGGAGCTGCTCCTGCAAGGTCACCACATCACATGGTCAACCCTCCACCCACCTGCGCCATCGGCAGGCCCTGACGGTAAGCGAGTCGCTCCTTCTCTGTCCAGTGTTGGCTGCATCCAGCTGCTCCTGGTTCCTCCTGCCTTCCTGCCTCTTAGTCCTGGACCCTGCTCACTAGCTCTGCCCCATCCACCCACCCACCCATGCACCATCCACAGCAGGCCCTTGGTGATCTCACCTAGTCAAATGGCTTCCAGCACTCTCTATATCCTGACCACCACTGGGTGCCTCTCTTGTCCCCATGCCCCCAGGAACCTCCTGCTGCCCTCCAGCTGAGGTCCAGTAGACACCACAGACTCTACGTGTCCCAGATCAACTCTTGCCGTCCCTCAGACCTGCTCCCCATGACTGCCCCTGCTCACACCCACTCCCTTGCCCTCCCTCTCCCAATTCCGACTTGGTCACACTAGGTGGCTCCACATCCTATCCTCCCATTTTCTCTGCCCCTCCCCAAACCAGGCAGATCCCCCTGACTCCTCCAAACCCACCTGACAGAGTCACCAAGACCCTGTGTTATCTCTCTCTCTCTCTCTCTCACACACACACACACCGTGTCTTCATCTCAATCATGAGGCCACTGCTCAGGGCCACAATGTTGTCACCCCTGACTTTCCCTCACGTCTAGACCACGTCTAAATCTTCCTGCCTCCACCTTTAAGACACACACCATGGACCTAGAATCCATCAGTGTCCCCCTCTCCACTGTGAGTACACAGGTCCGAACCCTCACTACCTTCCAGGGGATTATTCCGAGATTCCTAACTGGTCCTCTCTCCACGCCCACCCCCACCCCCGTGTCTACACAGCAGCCAGGAGCTGGAGGGCAGACTCTGCTCAAACCCTCCAGCGGCATCCTGTCTCAGCGGAGGAGCGAGGAGCGGCGGGCCCCAGCCTCCCCCCATCTCCTCCTCTCCCCTTGCGCCCTGCCCCCCCCCCCCGCTTCTGCTGGGGCCTTCCTCCCCCAGACGCCCTGCAGCTTGCTCGCCCTGCAGCTTGCTCGCTCGCTCCCAGGTCTGTGTTCAAGTGGCGCCTTCTCAGAGAGCCCTCCTTGTGCCATCGCCCCCCCCCCCCCACCTCCGGCTCTGCCCGTCTCCACGGCCCTGCAGTGGGCGCCGCGTGGGCAGGTCCTCCCCGGCCCCGGCCCCGGCCCCGGCAGTGGCGCCCGTTTCCTCCCTGTCCTCCACCCCCCTCCCCCCGCTGGCTGCAGCGGGGCGGCCAGGCCCGAACACCCAGGGAGACTCTCGGGGACTTTGTGCACCCCAACGACTCCGTCCCTCTGTAGCCAGTGTTTTCTACAATGAACACAGAAGAATCCCCCCTCCTCTTTTTAAGGATTTTATTTATTTATTTGAGAGAGAGAAAGCACCCGCGGGAGCAGAGAGGAGGGGCAGAGGGAGAAGCAGGCTTCCCGCTGAGCAGGGAGCCCGATTCGATCCCAGGACCCTGCGATCATGACCCGAGCCGAAGGCAGACGCTTCACCAACTGAGCTACCCAGGCGCCCCAGTCCTTTTTTTAAAGAGAGTAAGAGAGGTTAAAAAGTCAACATTATGAAGGGAAAACTTCAGCTTCTGTTTGTATCTTTTTTGTGATAAACATGGATTCTTTTTACACATCAAAATCTTCCCGGGCTGGGTACCTGTGGGGTCACATCCGCTACGCTGCCAGCGACAAAGGAAAATAAAAATATTTCCTCTCCTCGGGGCGCCTGGGCCGCTCAGTCGGTTGGGCGACTGCCTTCGGCTCAGGTCATGATCCTGGAGTCCCAGGATCGAGTCCCGCATCGGGCTCCCTGCTCGGCGAGAAGCCTGCTTCTCCCTCTAACCTTCCCCGCTCTCATGTACTCTCTCTCTCTCTCATTCTCACTCTCTCAAATAAATAAATCTTTAAAAAAAAAAATTTTCCTCTCCTCAGCAATATATTTAGCAATCAAGCATTTCAACTCAGACTTCAGTGTAAGAATACTCCCATGTTTATTTTCAATTACAATCCCTCTATTTTGTGAAAAGTAGTGTTATTTTAATGTTAACAAAACAAGGCACACATTCAATAGTAAATATCATGGTGCTATTACCAAAACAAACAAACAAATCCCAGAATGTTCCTTATCCCAAGAAAAGCATCTGAAAAGATTAAGTAACAGAAGCTTTAGCTTTGTTTTGAGTCAAATTTCCCTGCATGCTTCAGCAAGGCTCCTGCCTCAGATACCTGTGGCTCAATCCAATCGGAGGGAGTGCTAATTCGACTGTAATCCCCTTACTTGGAATGAGTACAACTCCCTGAGGGGATACTTAAAAGCAAATTTACCAAACGACAGACATCAGAAAATTCTCTCAATTTGTACAGCTAGATATTTGAAATGTCACTTCTAAATACTGGCATCCTGTAGAGGTACAATTTTTTTTTTGAGTCGGAATAATTAATTAGGAGTAAATTTGTTGAAAATCAAGCAGATAAAATCCCCAGGGCTGTTGGGCCTCTTTAATCAATTCTTCCATAAGAGAGACAAGCCCACAATTTAACATAAATAGACATGTACTCTGCGTTCTTCAAAAGGCTGAAAAGAAATTAGTGACACTTGCACATATCTTAGATGATGGACTGTGCCAGATGCAGGACCCTGCACAATTATGGCATTTTTCCATCCACATCAGGCTCCAGCCACTACCTAGATCTTGACTCATCTGATACCTGTGAGGCAGGGGGAGGGGGCTGCTTTCCCTGGCAGCTGGTGAAAACTAGAGTTGAGGTCTCCTGTGTCCTGGCGGACCCCGTTTAGCATAAGGTGGGATCCCGATGTCACTTTTGGCTGGTCATGAGCCAATCAAAAATGCACACCTTAACATGAAGTATGCTGGTACCTTCAAAGCTCACAGCTGAGC